AAGGAAAGTTATGTTACGGCATTCGCCACTTGAATCAGCCTTGGTAGCAACTAAACCCAAGTTTGGGGGGGATAAGGAGAGAGATATGAAGAAGGAAGACAAGAAGGACCTAATATGTGAACATTGCAAGAAACCTAAGCATACCAAAGAAACCTGTTGGAAGCTATATCCTCATCTAGTTCCCGCAAAACTTAGGAACAAAAAGGGGAATGCTAATACAGCTGTTACTACTGATTGTTCAACCTCATCAGTCACAAGAGCAACACCACTAGACACTCTAGCTTCTGTCCGAGCTTCCTTGACTCAGTTGGAAAAGGAGGTTGGTAGTTCAGCATCATCATCTCAGCCAATCACAACATCAACTCCTCCCACCTCAGCATTTGCTCATTAAAGTACACGGGCCTCAGCTTATCATGCTTCAGCTCCAGGTAACATTGAACATTGTTGGGTAATAGACTCAGGTACATCTAATAATATGACTGGTTTGCCTTCACTATTTATTACCTATCACTTATCATCTGGTAAAGACAAGATGTCTGTTATGAAATTATAGGCTGTAAATATGTAGTATTAGCCCAATTAGGAATAGCTTGATTATAGGAATTATTCTTTCTTTGATTTTCTTCCTATTTTAGTATCTACAAGGCTGTATGATTTTCTTCCTTTTTTGTATTTGCAAGGTTGTATGATTTTCTTCTTTTTTTGTATCTGTAAGGCTATATGATTTTCTTCCTTTTTAGTATCTACAAGGCTGTATATATATGTACTACTTTCTCAATAGAAAGACATCAATTTCTTCCAATTCTTGTTGTATCACAGTGTCTATTGTTGATGGATCACTTGTTCCCATTTCTGGCAAGGGAGACATAAAGTTGTCTAGTGCCATTTCCCTGTCTTCTGTTCTGCATGTTCCTAAACTTAGCACCAATTTACTTTCAGTTAGCAGCATTACTAAAAACTAGAATTGCTTAGTAATATTTTTTCCTGATCGATGTGTTTTTCAGGACTTGGAGACAAGGAAGGTGATTGGGACTGGCCGTGAGACAAATAGAATCTATCTGCTTAGAGGAAGTTCACAGTGGGAAGGTAGTGAAGTTAGAGCGTCTTTTGTTTCTCAGTCTATTGGTCAAGTCATGCTTTGGCATAACCGATTGGGTCATTTATCCTTTAAGTCTTTGAAAACTTGTTTCCTAGTTTATTTGAATCTATCTAGATGTCCAGTTTAAAGTGTGAAAGTTGTGAACTTGCAAAGCATTGTAGAACAACCTATTCATTAAGTAATAAGAGAAGTAGTGTTCCTTTTGACATCGTGCATACCGATGTTTGGGGACCATATCACATCACTGCTATGGGGGGGTACATATACTTCTTACTGTTTGTTGATGACTACACCCGGTTTTTTTGGGTCCTAATTGATGCGTTCTCAAGATGAGGTCCCTACCCTAAACCAAACCTTTCATAAGATGATTTTAACCCAGTTTGGGTAAAAATAAAAAATTTCAGATCCGATAATGCGAGAGAATACTTTAAAACATCACTAGCCTCTTATTTTTTTGACCGTGGGATTATCCATTAGAGTACCTGCCCTCATACCCCTTAGCAGAATGGGGTGGCTAAGAGAAAGAATAGGCACATATTGGAAGTAGCTAGAAGTATCATATTCAACTCCAATGTGCCTATACATTTTTGGGGAGATGCCATTCTCATAGCTGTGTATCTCATCAACCGATTTCCTTCATAGATTCTTGACATGAAACCTCCATTCACTCTTTTATATCCTGATAAAGAGTTGTTTTTTGTTCCTCTTAAAACCTTTGGTTGTACCTGCTTCATGCAAACTCTTGGCCCTCACTGTTCCAAATTTGACCCTAAAGCCTCAAATGTATTTTCCTTGGTTATGCACAAACTCAAAAGGGATACTGCTGTTATGAACCTAATTTAGGAAAGAGATTTGTATCCATGGATGTTACTTTCTTTTGAGGATGTACCTTATTACTCTAGGGTTTCTTCTCAGGGGGACAGTAGTACGGTTGGGGTTAACACATTAGAAGTCCCTTTACCTATTCCATTGAGTGAAGAGGGGTGTAATGGGGAGGGTTGTCAAAAATGTCGGGATTTGAGAGTTTATCACAGACGATTGAGGAATGTTGATTTTGGTCATCAGCAGTCCAGGCCAACCCCAATTCCTTCTGAAGATCTAGATCCAGGTACTACATCTCTTCCAGCTCCCATTACAGATGAGCCTTCTGCTGTTGAGCCTTTTCCATCTTCTGAGCCCTCACTTCCATTGAATGACCTTGACCTTCCCATTACAGTCCGTAAAGGCAAACGCCGTTGCACCTCATCCACAGCTCACTATATCTCACAATTCTTGTCCTATGATCACCTGTCTCCCTCTTACAAGTCCTTTCTTACATCCATTGCTGATATTCCCATTCCTAGAACAGTACAGGAAGCCCTGACCATTCCTGAGTGGAAGCATGCAATGAAGGTAGAAATGGATGCCTTTCTGAGAAACAATACTTGGGAGCTAGTTGATCAACCCAAAGGGTAGAAACCAGTTGGATGTAGATCGGTGTTTACTGTGAAACATAATGCTGATGGTTCCATTGAAAGGTATAAGGCCCGGATAGTTGCGAAGGGATTTACTTAGACTTATGGTATTGATTACTTGAATACTTTTGAACAAGTAGCAAAAATGACCACTATCAGAGTATTATTATCTCTTGCAGCCAGTTACTCTTGGCCCTTGTTCCAAATGGGTGTTAAAAATGCCGTCCTCAATGGAGACTTGCAAGAAGAAGTGTACATGCAGTTACCTCCTGATTTTTATAGTACAGTGACAGGTTTGTCGGTTGAATAAAGCTTTGTATGGGCTAAAACAGTCCCCCAGAGCTTGGTTTGATAGATTCAGACAAGCCCTTGAAATGTTTGGCTATGTGCAGGCTCAATCATATCACACTTTGTTTATTAAGAAAGTGGATACTTCCTTGACTCTACTTGCTGTGTATGTGGATGACATTGTAGTAATAGGGAGTGATAACAGTGAAATTGA